ACAAACGGCAAAATTTCATAAATACATTGCCACAGAGAAGGTGTGGGACATCATGTTTTTCACTTCATTTTGATGCTACTGCTGGTCTGATTAGTAGCTTTTTCTTTTCTGTAGCTGAAGGTGGTTGCCGTTGGCTTTTCTTCCTGAAGACTGCTTCCCCTTTTGATTCCTCCTATAGTCCTAGCTGTTGGCATTGTTTTCTCCCTCTTCCCTTTTCTTCTGAACTAAGCGCTGCTTTCTCCTGTCAAGGAGTGCCTTCATCACCAGCTCTAGTAGGAGGGTCAGCAAGGAGTCCAAGCTAGTGAATGACTATCTAATCATTCAGATCTTCCTGCTTTACATTCCTCGATGTTCTGGATATTGAGACCATGACACAGAAACCACTGCCCACTGTATGTATGACTGTATGTGGCCCAGACCAGGACTGTATGTGCTATATTGTAGCACACACAAAAGATAACTAGGATTTAAAGAGCATGTAGGCTAAGCTCTTGTATGTTCAGTACATACGATAGAATACCTATGGAATATCTTCTGAGTAGTCAGTCAGGTGGGAGAAGTTGGTCTCTGCTGGAACAGATCCTCAGTGATGCTGAATTGCCATTCTCTGACTCCTTGTTTATTCTTCTTACAAGTCTTTCAAATTGGTGTTTTTCTTCTTAAAAAACTTTTTGATGGCTGTCTCAAAAAGTGCAGCTTCTACCCATGATTATTGTGAATCTTGGTATGAGAAGTGAAACAAAATTGAGGACATCATCTTGATCATTTCAAAATGTTTATACGTCTGTCTTTTCTGCTTTGGAGTCTTGATAAACTGATGCCTTTCTGAATAGGTGAAAATTGGGTAATAGTGGTCTTTTAAATCTTAGCTTAACTCAAAGGATTCCTTAGACTAAAATGCTAATCAGATACACACTGCCACTTGAAGCTGTGACCTCATGCATGAATTGGTAGGGAAAACACCATGTAGACCGCAGCACAAAAACATGTTTCCACAAAGATCCTGGACTTTCAGAATGGAGGGACAGACACAAACATTCTGCAAGTGGGCATCCACTTCAGAGGAACACTGGGACAAGTAGGTCCTTGCTAACAGGGATTCCCGAAGTGCCCAGTCTCTAGAAGGGAACAGAGCTCAACTGATGTGGCGTTTGCTGTAGTTTCTATAGTACTCTAAGGTCAGACCAATGACATGGGCAGTCTAAAGCCTGTAAGCTTCTGGTGGAGCAATGATGTTACTGTTCATAAAACGTGTTATGTTTATGCAAAGGCAGTCAACATTCCTAGAATCAAAAATATAAAGAAACAACTGGGAAAAAGATTTTAACTTTTTTCCATATTTAACAAAGCAATCCGCTCTGCAAATCCAAGAGTGAAACAATAAACATTTAAGCTACTTACCTAAGAAATGAGTTTTTGAACAGGTAGGATTCTCAGTTATCATTGAGTATGCAGAATTACATTGTGTAGGGTCAGTAGAGCAAGATTAGCCTTCAAATTCCAATAAATTAGTCAAAGAATCCTGCCTGCAAGGAAATATTCTTTCTTTTCTAAAGCAGACAAATTTAAGAATGTCTTATAACAGTTTCCATGTAGCTGAGACTGGAATTTGTCCTATCGTTTTTACAGAATTTGTAAGTTGTAGTTCTGTTAACATTTTATAATCAGTCTATTCGGGTTTTTCCAGACATCAGATGCCAGCAGTAACAACATTGCCCTGACATTAATTGCAGAATTAAAGAAAACAATTAACCTTATGTGATTTCTCTAAGTGCAATTGTTGCTGATGCCTGACCTGTGATAGCTTAACAAATGCCTTTTATTCCTCTGGTAAATTTAATCTGTAAATCTGAATAACAGGCTGAAAGATGTTATGTAGAGACTACTCAGCCAGCTCATATTAATGCAAATGGATGTCTCCCAGAAAATTTCCACAAACCAGCAGATTGAGTTCTAAGGAAGAAACCTGCACAATTATTTAAGATTTTTCTCAGGCTGATGGAGCAGTCCCTGCAAGTCTCCTAATATATTATTGAAGATTTGGTACATTTCCCTTTGGGGCATCAGGTCTGTTATCCAGCGAGGATACTAAGGACTTTATGAGTCTTCCACAGTCATTCCACTGCTTGGAAAGGAATGGATGCCATAAAAAACATTAAACAAGCATAGAATACATAAAACTCCAAGGAAGACCTAATACTCCTACATGATTGGAGACCTGTAGAATGCATGCCTTCATTGCATTTCATACTGTCACAACTCCATGGGACCGAATGGGCTACACATTCAGGTGCTGAGCAAGCTGGCAGGGGTGATTGCCGAGCCGCTCTTGGCTGTCTGTCAGCGCTCCTGGTTAACTGGAGAGGTCCCAGAGGATTGGAGGCTTGCTGATGTGACTCCCATCTTCAAGAAGGGCTGTAAGGAGGATCTGGGGAACTATAGGCCTGTTAGCCTGACCTTGGTACCAGGGAAAGTAATAGAGCAAATGAGATCACACGGCACGTGTGTGGCATGGCGTCCAAGGGATCAGGCCCAGCCAGCATGGGTTCATGAAAGGCAGGTCGTACTTGACCAACCTCATCTCCTTCTATGACTGGGTGACCAGACTGGTAGATGAGGGAAGGGCTGTTGATGTAGTCTACCTAGACTTCAGCAAAGCCTTTGACATGGTCTCTCACAGGCTTCTTCTGGGGAAACTGGCTGCACGTGGTATGGACAGGTATACACTCCTTTGGGTAAGAAACTGGCTAGATGGCCGTGCCCAACGGGTGGTGGTTAATGGAATGAAGTCCAGCTGGCAACCTGTTTCAAGTGGTGTCCCCCAGGGGTCGGTACTGGGGCCCATCTTGTTTAATATCTTTATTGATGATGTAGATGAGGGGATAGAGTGTACCCTCAGTAAGTTTGCAGATGACACCAAGCTGGGAGGTGGTGCTGATCTGCCTGAGGGTAGGGAGGCCCTTCAGAGGGATCTAGATAAGCTGGATCGCTGGGCTGAGGTGAATGGGATGAGGTTCAACAAGGCCAAGTGCTGGGTCCTGCACTTTGGCCACAACAACCCCATGCAGCGCTATAGGCTTGGGGACAAATGGCTGGATGACTGTGAAGAGGAAAGGGACCTGGGGGTGTTGGTTGATGCTCAGCTGAACATGAGCCGA